AGTCCAACAGTTTCAGAACAGCGACTCTAGTGGCATAGAAGATCTTTGGGGTGATTGGACAAGTGTTTCAGTGGCCACCTTCATTTAGCTGTGGATATTTTTGTTTGTGAGTTCATTACAAAACAATTATTTTAATTAAAAAAAAAAAAGGAAAACTAAGCTGGGTGTAGTGGTGCACGCCTTTAATGCCAGCACTGGGAGGTGGATCTCTAAATTCGAGGCCAGCCTATGTACAGAGTGATTTCCAGGATAACCACAGCAACACAGAGAAACTTTGTCTCAAAAAACCAAAACCAAACCAAACAAACAAGAAAAGAAGGTGACACAGAGAGATCAGCTTCACACATGGGGTGTGAAGACCGCATTCTTAGGACTTCAACTTGAACTCCAGTTGTGGCTACCAAAAAAAAAAAAAAAAAAAAAGTGTGAGGGGGGTCTTTGACACGTGCTGTAGATTACAGGGCTAAGCATCGCTTTGGAAATAGTGAGTCAAAGAATACCGAAGGGGGCTGTGGATACCCAGCACCACATCAACCAGGCATAATGTAAAAAGAACACTGAGCAGGACATCCCAGCACTCAGGAGGTAGAGATGGTGGGGGGAATCAGAAATTCAAGGTCATTCATGGGCTATAGAAGAAGGTGCAGGCCACCCTCGGGTATCTGAGACCCAACCTTCAAGAAGATTCTTGTAACTTGTAAGTTGCCATAAACACCTACCCCAAAGAAAAAGGAAGAAAGGATTCTAAAGCCAAGTACAAGTTTTATGTTCAACGTAGTCAATCCTTTGACCTTCTCTACAATTTTCCATTTAAATTTGTACTGTTAAAAAAAATAAAAGACATTCTTACCTAGCAGGTGGGGGGTACACACCGTTAGTCTCAGACACAGGAGAGTCTCTGTGAGTGTGAGGCTATCCTGATGCACACATCTCTACATAGAGAAACCCCGTCCCAGCAAAGTTTTTTTTTCTTTTTTTAAATATTCTTAACTCATTATCCCCCCAAGAAGAGAGCTAGAGATTCAACCAATCACAACACACCCTTTGAAATGGTGACGGAGACATTTTCTTAGAGAGTAACACAGAAGGATTAGTGGGCCAGGATGCAGATGTGCAGACGTTCTGATGGTCACAGTGTTCCTGCTCAGTACCCATCTCCAGCGCCACTTAGGTCTGAGCTGTTTCCAGCTAGGAGAATCCAGAGCTGCCCTGGCCCTGTTGGTTAACGTAGTTACCTGCTAACAGCCACCAGTTGATGTGGTGATAGAAGACCTCAGGGAGCAGCTGCCTGCAGGGCATACCTCCTGCTCCACCTCAGCTCCTCATGGCCACCTTCCCTGACTCTTTCTTGTCCTTCTTTCTTTTTATTTTTACTTTTTTGAGACAGGGTCTATGTAACCTTCACTATGGCTGGCCCAGAGCTTGCTGTGTAGACCAGGCTAGCCTCTAACTCACAGAGATCTGTGTGCCTTTGTCTCTTGAGTGCTGTGACAGCAGCTTGGCTGTCTTATCAGGTGCTGGAAACCCCTACTTCTGGCTGCCCAGAAGGTGGTGCTTTTAGTTTCCAACTCTATTTTTTTTTTCAAGACAGGGTTTCTCTGTAGCTTTGGAGCCTGTCCTGGAACTAGCTCTTGTAGACCAGGCTGGCCTTGAATTCTCAGAGATCCACCTCTGCCTCCCTCTGCCTCCTGAGTGTGGGGATTAAAGGCATGCGCTGCCACCACCACCCACCACCCGGCTTTATTTTTGTTTCTTTGCTTTTTGAAATAGAGTCTCACTATTTCTGCCCTGACCTCGAACTTACTGTGTAGATCCAGCTGGCCTTGAACTTATAGAGATCTGCCTACCTTTGCCTCCCAGAGAGTGCTGGGGTTAAGCATGGCACATGTCTGACACTTTGCTTCCTTTTAAACATTGGTAATTTCTTCATTCCTTCCTTAGCCTCAACCTTTCATTAGCTTTTCTGCCCAAATTGCAATGTTTTCAAATCTTCCTACTTTGCTTCTTGTTTCTATTCTGACTGTAATTGAGTTAACAGTATCCAGTAACATCCATGCTGGGATGCCTTGAAGTTGTCTCTGCTGCATTAATTATATCTGTCACTTTTAAATAGCCTAGCACAAAATTTCAGGGCTCAGAAAAATATAACCAGGTTTTCAGCTCTAATGTAACAATTCCCGATAGAAGCCTTGTTGCTGTGAGAAACCACAGGCAGCCTGCAGTCATTTTAGTTTTCTGAGTTGCCACCAAAATTGCCCGTTAATCTTTGCTTAGTATTTTCTAGTATTTGTGTGTGTCTGTTTGCATGTAGTGGCCAGAGGACTCGGTATTAGTCAGGCCCTGATTGTGTGCGCACCCTTCAAACTGATAACGGTTCTCTGCTGGGCATTCCTACTTTGTGACTCAGGGGTCAGGTAAGATCCAGCTCATAATGGGCAGCTCAGGTCTCATGGTGACTTGGTGGCCCATTGTCAAAATTCAGTTTCCACTTAGGCCCAAGAACAGGCCAAGAGCTGTCTCTTAAAGGGAGAATAGTTGTCTGCATATGATGGTAGAGCCTTGTCCAAAATCCCAGAGGTCTCGTCAATGATTCACTTTAAACAGCATCCCTGTCTGGATCTGCAGGATCATATGGTCTAGGGAGTATAGCAGCCCGCACAGCAGCCTGGACTTGGTGAAGAGCCTTCTGCTCCAGGCCCCACACCAAGCTGGCAGCTCTCTGAGTCACTTGGTATCTGGGCCTAAATAACACACCTGAGTGAGGGATGTGCTGTCTCCAGAATCCAATAAACCCACTAAGCCTTGAGCTTCTTTCTGGGTGGTGGGAGGGGCCAGGTTATTACTCATCCTTTACCTTAGAAGGAATATCTCTGCAGGCCCCACACCACTGCACTCCTGAGAATTTCATTGAGAATGAAGTTCGTTGAATTTTGGTTGACTTTATTCTTCATCCTCTGATACCAACATGTCCAAAATTGTTGCAGCCACCTGCTCACTTGGTCCGATCAGCATAATGTTATTAATATAGTAGACCTGTGTGATATTTTGAAGAAAAGATGGACAATCAAGATCACTTCCAACTAAATTATGATACAGGGTTAGAGAGTTAATGTATCCTTAAGGTAAAACTGGAAAGGTGTATTGTTGGCTTTGCAACTGAAAGCAAATTGTAGTGAAATTTTGTTTGTAATCTAACAAATAAAACTTGCCTGAAGATGAGAGTGCAGAGCTAAGTCACTACTTAGTCATAGAGTACAGACGGTAGGGGCTCACACCTTCAATCTCAGCACTTGGGGGGTCACATGTCTTTAATCTCAGCATACGGAGGTGGAGACAGGAGTGATATGGCGGGGCAGAGAGAGGAATATAAGGCAGGAGGAGACAGGAGCTCAGATGAGGCAGTCTGAGCGTACAGTCTGAGGACTCATGAGCCAGGATCAGTCTGAGGATTCAGTAGAGGCGAAGGTCTCTCTAGTGGCTGGCTGTTCTGCTTCTCTGATCTCTCAGCTTTCACCTCCTAATTTCTTACTCTGGTTTTTGTTATTAAGATCAATTAGAATTAGGGCTACAGCAAATTTCTTCTGGAAGTCCATTTGAACAGGTACAAAAGAAAAGGCATTTGCTATATCAATGGCTGCACACAATATACCAAATCATGTACCAGGTGTGTTAATCTGCTAAGAAAGCACAGCACACATCTGGTGCTGCGCAGTGACTGCAAATCAGAGTCACTACTTGGTTAAGTCTGTGATAGTGTTATTCTCCACAGCCCATCTGTTATCTGCACAGGCCGGACAGAAGAGTTAAAAGGAGATGTGCTGGGGACCACCACCCCTGCATCTCCAGGGATGTGATATTGTCTGGGGTTCAGTTTGCCCTGGCAGAGGTGGTTCTAAAGGCATCCCTTGCCCTTTCCAACCACAACAGTCCTCACTCCACAGGTCAGGGAACCAATGTGAGAAGTCTGCCGACTTTTGAATACATCTATCCCAGTTATACATTCTGAGACTGGGGAAATAGCTGCAGGATGAATTCAGGGACCCACTTGATCCACTGTACCCAAGTTAACTCCATTAACAACCTGACCTCTATGAGTCACTACTTTGACTGGAGGGCCACAGTGCTTCTTGGGATCTCCCAGAATTAGCATCAATTCAGAACCATTATCTAACAGACCCTGGAGAGTCTGGTCATTTCCCTTCCCCCAGTGTGCAGTTACTTTGTAAAAGGCTGTATGTTGTCTATGGAAGGACTGGGAAAAGGCTAACAGTAAATTTCTTAGGTATTTTATCAGGGTCCTTCCTTAGGAGGACCTGACTGTCCCTTCATTCAAGGGGTTCTGGTTCTATAAGCTGGCTCAAGTCTAGAAATTGGTCTTGGGCTGAGGTGCCCTTTCACCATGATCCTGAAAGACCTCAATAAATCCAGACCCCTCTAGCAGGAAAAATAGAGTCAAATATCTAGGTTAGCCAGTTCAGTGAGTCTGTTTCAGGAACTAGCTGAAGATAAAGTTAGATTATAATCTTGAGAAACAGGAAGTTACCCCCTTGTGATTATCACTGGTATTTTCGGAATTTTTCAATGATCACTGGTATTTTCGGAGTTTTCCAATGATGCCCTCCCTATCCCCTTTGGATTACTGGGTTGTGTTTTTTTTCCCTTCAATACCCTTTCTCCCAGCTACTCGGGGTCGAACTCTCTACCCCTGCATGTGAAATGAGTTTTAGCCCCAGTGCACTGGTTCCTGTCCTGTCAATAAACCTCATGTGATTGCAGTAAGGACGGTCTCTCGTGAGTTCTTGGGGGGTCCTCTTATCCCGAGACTTGAGTGAGAGTCTCCCCGCTCTGGAGGTCTTTCATTTGGGAACTCGTCCCGGGATAGGCGACCACCCTCGTCTCCGAAGACCCACTTGGAGGTGAGACATTGTCTGTGTGTCTGTGTCTTTGTGTTTCCGTGCTGGCTGAATTCAGGTTCTGTATTTTCGGTTTTGCTTTTGCAGTCGCTCGCATCTCGGGAGGAGACTGAGGGAGTGATCAGCAGACGTGCTAGGAGATCAGGAGATCACCAACTGCCGCCCTGGGAGACGTCCTGGAAGGTGAGAAGGGACCCAGGGACGCCTGGGAGATTCCCATCTGGGTGCTGGTGAGGATATGGAAGTTCTCCTGGATTGGACACCCTCTCGTTTGTCTGTATTTCTGGAATGGTTTTGTCTGTCTCAGTGGAGACAGACGTTTGTTTGTGTGTCTTCGGTCTTTTGTCTTTCTTGTGACTTTGATGATTGAGACAGACTGTGATGTTGACTCTGGATCAGTGGTTTTGTATTTCTAAGTTTTGTTAGCCTTTGTCTGTGTATCTTTGGTCTGTTTTGTCTTACATGTGCACAGGTAGCGTGTTCAGGTGAGACACGCGAGTGGCGTGGTCAGTTCTCTGTAAAGGAGAGAAGACGCACACCTTTAATCCAGCAGGCACACCTTCTGCTGGGAGCCTTTGTGGGACATGGATGAAGGAAGCTTTTGCCTTTTGCCTGCTTGCTCTCTCCTTGCGACAAGTTTGTTCCTACGCTGGCAAGAGCCTACTTCTTCAGAATACCAGAGTGTACTAGAGACCAGCTGAGACCCAGCCTTGGGGATTGCGCAGCTATCAGAATCACGGACTTCCAGATTATAGCCAGCAATTGTTGGATTAGCTGGACTGCATGTAAGCCATTATAATAAATCTACTTTACATATTTCTGTCTATATCTATGGAGAGCGAGAAGAAAGATTTTTCTATAAATTTTGTCACTCTAGAGCAGCGATTCTCAAACCTTCCTAATGCTGCAAACGTTTAATATGGTTCCTCATGTTGTGGTGATCAACCATAAAATTATTTTTGTTGATGGGTCTGAAAATAAAGAGATACTCCAGTTTCGGGGGATCTGGCACCCTCACACAGACACACATGCAAATTTTCTGACTTCTTCAGAATTTGAGTGTTCAAACCCTCAGTATCATTAGGGTATGCACACACATTTCCTCCCCACGTTATAGGATCAATTGCTTACTAAATCAGAGCCATTGCTTTAACAGTCCACACCTTCTATCACTAGGACTTGAATTTTCATTACAGTTCAGCTAATCTTAAAACCAGGGCTTCTGCAGCTCCAGCTGTGTGACTGCCAGAGAGGTGACACCCCCCCCCCCCCGCACACCTCTGCACTGTGTGTGTGAATCTGGGGCCGTTCAGTTTTTTCATGGTGCTCATTATTTTCTTTTGCCAGTTTATCCAGTGATGCTAAAAGCAATCAGCCAGTTTCATTATTTCACTAAATTCCTTGCTCCTCACACTAGGTGAATCAGGATAATCAAGTGCATTTACCTGAAAAATTGATGAAATAATTCACTCCACGGTGTTTTGGTGCTGTCTGTGCTTCTAGCAGAGGCTTCAGCAACGGTAGGTGTCAGCAAATTGGAAAATCTCTTCCAAATACTTTAAAATATTCATTCTTATAGTTCTGTCTCTCTAGAACCACCCCTGGTCCATAGTCTGTATTAGTCAGTGCTCTCCAGAGGAATAGGACTGATGGAATGAATCTATATTGTCCCGCCCAATCTGCGAAACCCACTCTCCGATAAGGGTGCGCGCTTCCCGAATTGAACCGCGAGACTGAATCAATATCCTAGGAGTTGAACAGACATACACACAGAGATCAGGATCACTTGCCCAAAGGGTAAATGTCAACTTTATTAAGCACATGTTAGGTATATATACTTGGGGGCAGAAGGACGAGAGCCTCCTCCCATCCAGGACAGGGAATGAGGGTACCAGGCTCCGGACACCAGCGGCTTGACAACTGAGGGGAGGCTTTTAGGTGGGAACCTTGGCTTGCAGGTGGAATTACCGTATCAAAAGAGGACAAAACTCTCTCTAAGTTTTGTCCCCCAAACCGGTGCAGCGAGCAGAGAAGGCAGGAAGCTAGGAGGAAAACAGCCCTGCATAGTGCCTCGAAGAAAGGGGAAAAAACCCGGGTACCAACACTATATTAAAAGGGAATTTTCTAGAGTGGCCTACAGGCTCTGGTCCAGTTTATTCAACAGTGGCTGTTGACCGATGGAAAGGTCGGGAATTCAGAGGTTGCTTAGTCCAAGAGGATGGATGTAGGCGGTTACAATAAAGTAGTCCTACATCGGCTGGTCTTTGGTCTGCTAGAAATGAGTTCAGAGTTGCAAAGAGAGAGATCACCATTCTAACTGAAGTGTCTGGACAAGACAAACTTTACTCTGGACCAAATGGGTATGCTCAGAAAAGCAAATATTTCACAAACAGGAAGTTCATTTGGTTTTTATTCTACCTCAAGTGGTGGCTGGCTTTTTTTTTTTTTCCATTGTCTAGGGTTGAACCTCACAGTCTTTTTTTTTTTTTTTTTTTTTTTTTTAAGAGCATTTCTCTGTAGCTTTGGTGCCTGTCCTGGAACTAGCTCTCTTAGGCCAGGCTGGCCTTGAAATCACAGAGATCCTCCAGCCTCTGCCTCCTGAGTGCTGGGATTAAAGGCGTGTGCCATCACAGCCCGGTGAACCTCACAATCTTATTCAGTTGGCTAGTCTGAAAAGAATTGGCACACAGTAAATGAAAGAAGAAGGGGGAAATGGTCACTGCTCTAAGCCATCAAATTCCTAGAATAGAGAACACTGAACCTTTGTGTAAACAAAGGTTTTATTGGGTGGGGAGGAATAAAACATTTTCATAAAAGTCTTACAAGGTGGAGAAAATAAAATATTTTAATTCCTTGTCCTAAACACAGTTTTCTATTATTCTGTGGTGGGATCCTGAAGAAGTGAGTTCCAGCATCAGTGTAGGAATGCCTCAGCAGCAGGGTAGATGTGGACCTTGCCAGTGAGAGCAAGAACAAGTGGGCACAAAGTAAACGCTTGCTTCTCCTATAGCTTTGACATAGCCTGCCACTGGAAGGTGTGGCCCAGATTTACAGTGGTTTTTTGCACCTCAAATGATCCAGATTTAGGGTGGGTCTTCCCATTTCAAATAATCCAATCAAGCAAAATCCCTTACAGTTGTGTCTAACTGTTTGCGTTTTAGTTAATTCTAAATGTAGTCAAGTTGATGAGACTAGCCATTACAGATTCCATCAAGTGTGAAAACATCTCCCCAGTCTCTGTGTTCTATGTTTTCTTAGGCCTCCTTCTCCACACTTTTCCAAATTCCTCTTTCAAGCAAATTCCAAATGCGTGAATCCTTCTGGACTTAGCATTCTGACACCGGTGAGAGTGAGAGAGAGATGTCACCAAAGGACCAAAGCCAGGAGAGCGCTAGTAGATTCGGAAACATTTCTGGAGGCCCCAGTGAGATTCTTACTCACCAGGGCACTGCTTGGTCCAGGGAAGCTGCTGCCCCTGGGCCTCTCAACCTACCAGCATTCTCTGGAGCTGGGAAGCACACAGCCCTGATGGAATTCTGAGGCCCTCACAAATAAAAGAATTCCAAAGCCTTCTTAAGTACAGGTCAGGTTTAGTCACAGCAATGGCTCTAATTCCCTAATACCAATTTCCCCTCTCCCTTCCTTTATTCCTTTTTTGTTTTTGAAACTGGGTTTCTAGTGCAGCTTGGCCTTCACCTCACTAGGAAGCTCAGGGTGGCCTCCTGCCTCACCTTTCCAACTGCTGGGGTACCAGATGTACAACATAACACCTGTTTCAGGCACTGGTTTTCTGTGTTTTGTCACTGTAAAGAATCCCTGAGAAAATAATTTGAAAGAAGGAATGATGTATTTTGGTTGATGGTTTCAGAGGTTTTAGACTATCACCAGGAGGAGACACCAGAGCAGGGAAGTTTCCATTGTGGTGATGTCCAGAGGAACCCAACATTGGTCCTCTAAGAGCAGGGAGTAACCACAGAGCTATTTATTTAGCCTCACATGTTAATCTCTTAGTGCCTAAATTCATATGAAAAAGGAGTAGTGACAAAGAAATGAGTGAATAGAAAGGAATCGTGAAGCTGAACCGAACAGCTGGGGCCTTCATTTCCAAAAGTCCACTGAGAAGTATATGGGCAAGGGCAGCCTGGCTCACAGTGGCACCCCTGCTTCCAAGGTTCTCTTCCCTTACTGCCACTTAGCAGTTGGCAAAAATCACAACCAAAGAGCCAGTGGAGAGCAGCATCGTGAAGGGAGCGGAGTAGATTCCCATGCAGCTGGCAAAATGCCGTTGTGGACTCTCAGTGGGAGGAACTTTCCCTTTATATGAAACCAGGTGTCATGCGGCTAAGCGTCCAGTGCTGGAGTGTATTGATGGGGACTGTGTGGCTCATATTGTATTGTACTCATTTCCCAGTCTTCCCATGATATCCACCACACCAGAAAAAAAAGGAAGTAAAAAAATGAAAAAAGAAAAAAGCAAGTCTATTTCGTGTTGTCCATGTGTTCACTGGAGCATGACCAAATTCCTAGTGTCCAGCTCCCTGCATCCTCGCCAGAAGCGTCAATGGAGGAGAATCATGCAGTGACTGGAAAGGGGCCCTGTCAGCTCTCCCATACCCACACCATTGCCTCAACAGGCTGTGGGGCAGCAGAGGGCTGGGGTCAGCTCTCTGGTGACCTGGGACATAAATATGACTTCAGGCAGCAGCCCAGACCACAAATATTCGCATGTGCTTCCATGGTAACATAAGCTGCAGGTGATCATCAGTATGGCCCTTGACTGTATCAGGATGCTGCATGGGCCACGGATGTCAACATGGCCTCAGGTGGCTACATATGCCACTCCCATCAGGGTGCCCCTCTCTTTCCAGGCAGAACAGTCTGAGGACATCACCAAGACATCAGGCAGAGGCACAGACTGCGTACAACCACATGGCCCTCAGTCTTAATGACAGTCTGGGGCAGCAGCATGGGCCACAGACACCAACATGGTCTCTGGTGTCATCTTGGATCACGGTAGTGCTTTGAGGAGGTCTAATCCAGACAGTGAACCTTTCCTCATCGTGGGCCTCCATCGTTGCTCAGAGCCAGGGGGATCCCGTGGCCAGGCAGCAGGTTTGAAAGCTAAGTTTGCATCTGCATACACTCCAGGCTGTTGTACACCATCCTGTTGTGCAGGGTTGTTTGTTGGTTCCCAGCCCCCTACTATCTTAGACTCAAAATAATCACATGGAAACTGTATTAATTAAACCACTGCTTGGCCCATTACCTCTAACTTCTTATTGGCTAATTCTTATATGTTAATTTTACCCATTAATTTGTATATCACCATGAGGTCATGGCCTACCAGCAAAGTTTAGCATGTCTATCTCTGGCGATGGCTCCATGGCCTCTCGCTCTGACACTACCCTTCTTTCTCCCAGCATTCAGTTTTGTCTTCCCCACCTACCTAAGTTCTGCCCTGCTATAGGTCTAAAGCAGTTTCTTTATTCATTAGAGGTAATCACAGCATACAGTGGGAAATCCTACATCACCATCCCGCAGTCCCTACTGGGCAATGACAGCATGTTGACCTCAGCCCTCTGTCCCACCTGTCACCTCTGTCGGGTCTCCAGTTCTGCCTCAAGCCAGGCAGTGATGGTGCACGCCTTTAATCCCAGGACTTGGGAGGTGGATCTCTGAGTTTGAGGTCAGCCTGGTCTACAGAGCTACTTCCAGAGCATCTAGGGCTGTTTGTTACACAGAGAAACAGAGAAACTTTGTCTCGAAAAACAAACAAACAAACAAACAAAAAAGGAAGAAAAAAAAAGGAGAGAAAAAAAGACAAAGTAAACATTTTTACTTTTGGACATTTAGATGGTTAGACTGTGTTGTCAACTTAATGGGATGAGATTTAGGATCACTTTAGAAGCAAACTTCTGGTTTTCTAGAAAGGTTTAACTGAGCAGAAAATCCCACCATCAATGTGAGTGGCACCATCTTCTTCATGACTGGATTTGGAGCCTCAGACTGAATGAAAGAAGTGGGGTTCAGCACTAGCCCTTCCCGACCTCCTGCCTACGTAAACAATGTGGCCGGCTACTTCCAATCCAGATGCTACACCTCCTGGGGCTGGAGAGATTGCTCGGCAGCTAAGAGCACCTTCTTCTCCACCCATGCTTGGTTCCTAGCGCCGGTGTCTGGTAGCTCACAGCTGCCCGGAACTGCAGCTCCTGGGGATTCACACCTTCAAGCTCATGAAATACACACACAAGTACACTTTTAAAGTTGTTTTTCCTTAAGTGGCTTTTGCAAGACACTTTTTACAACAACCACAGAAGTAACTAGTACAATGTTAATATATGACTTGAACATTTCATTGAAGAAAAACATATCTGTAAAATTTTTATTTGTTTACACATACACAGGTCAGGGGACAACTTCCAGGAGATGGAGAAGGTCTTGAAGCAGGGTTTCTCTTTTTGTTTCTACTATTGCCCTGTGTCTTTCTTGTGGCTTTGGAGCCTGTCCTGGAACCAGCTCTTGTAGACCAGGCTGGCCTCGAACTCACTGAGATCTGCCTGCCTCTGCCTCCCGAGTGCTGGGATTAAGGCGTGCGCCACCACCACCCGACTGCCCTGTGTCTCCTAGGCCAGCTGGTCCGCAAGGTGTCAGGTAATTCTACCCCACCCCACCTCAGTTCAGGACTCACTCTCTGCATGGGCTCCAGTGTCAAATGTAGGTTGTCAGATTCGTGGAGCTGGTCCCTTGAGCCCACTGAGCCATCTCCCCAGCCTCTGAAAATAATTTTCTCTCATGTTAAAGACTCTATATTAGTGATAAAGATCCACATAATATTTTGTGGCATCCAAACTAATTTTTAATATTTTTAAATTTTGCTAGTTTTGTACAGGAACACAAAGTATTATGACCATATTAAATCCCTGTTACCCTTTTTCATCTGCCTCCCTGTTAGTCCCTTGCCTGCTCTGTTTTTTTTTTCTTCTGATTTTTAAAGACAGGGTTTCTCTGTGTAACAGTCCTAGCTGTCCTGGAACCAGCTCTTGAAGACTAGGCTGGCCTCGAACTCACAGAGATCCCCATCTCTGCCTCCTGAGTGCTGGGACTAAAGGCGTGTGCCACCATTCCTGGTCTCCTATTTATTTTTTAAGATGGTGTCTCTTACTGAACCTGAATCCCACCTGACACTGATGTCTAGGTTGGCCAGCACGTTTCTGGAATTCTGTCTCCGCTTTCCAGTGCTGGCCTGACTTTTCATTTGGGTTCTGAGAATTGAACTTGAATCCTCATGCTCAGGCAAACTGACCCACTGAATCATCTTCTCATTTCTATTTCTTTCTTTTCTTCTACCTTCCTTCCTTCTTTCTTTTTTTTTTCTTTCTGTGTTTCTTAAAAATCCACCTTTGGCTAGACAGGGTGGTGGTGCACACCTTTAATCATAGCACTTGGGGAGGACTCGGTGGATCTCTGAGTTTGAGGCCAGCCTGATCCAGGAAAACCAAGGCTACACAAAGAAACCCTGTCTTGAAAAGCAAATCAAAATAAAAAATTCACCTGTTTTTAACTTTTTAAAAAACAGTCTAACAGGCAGTAGTAGCACACACCTTCAATCCCAGCATTTGAGAGGTAGAGGGAGGCGGATCTCAGTGAGTTCAAGGCCAGCCTGGACTTGAACTCACAGAGAAACCCTGTCTTGAAAAATCAAAAGAAAAAAAAAAGGAAAAAAGTCTTACTTAGGTTATGGACAAGTTCCAAACTCTTCTCCAGAGGCCTTCCCTCTAAACCACTTGTGTTGATAACGCATGCATCATCTCCTGATTAAGTTGAGAGACTCCTTATAATTACTGCGTGACACTCAGAATTTGAAAGAATTGGAACAGTTCTCTTTAAACTTTCTAACGCAGAGTGTTTCTCATTTGGGATTTCCTGACACATCCTTATTATTGTATCTGGACTGTTTGTTTTTGGTCAGAGCACCACGGAAGGGACCCTGGTCCTTCTCACTGCAGCCTATGTCGCGACTATAATTAGACGCCCTGTGGTTAATGACGGCCACATCGACCACTGAAGGTGTCTCCTGGATTCCTCACCTGCGCTGTTTCTTCACTTTGCAGTTCTAGTGTTATCTGAAATCAGGGAGACTGTATTCCTGTCTCTGTCATCAGTAAACATTCAATTTCTTCAATAAATAAGAAAAAACCCTCTCCCGAATGGATCAGGTCATTTGTTCATTAATTTTGGGTACAGAGGTTCTTACTCTGTAGCCCGGGCTGTGTTGGAATCTGTGATCTGCCTGCCTGAGCCTCCTGAGTGTTGTTTGAGGTAGGAATTTTCTCTGATTTCTGTGGAATTGCCAGTGTTTGGCAAACTGCTGGAATATAGGACATACTCAACAACTATGCGTTGGCATTCTAAGGTGTTGGACTCTAGTGTCCAAACCGAGAAGGAGTCGCCCCCAGAGACCACCTCATATACCACAGCCGATGCAAAAGCATGAGGATTTTATTAATTCTGTCATGACAGGGTCCCTCAGCATTCGGGAAGCCGAGAGACCCCGACTAGCTGGTACAGTCTACTTTTAAAGGAGAAGGCCCCATAGAAACAAGACGGTTTGTTCCTTGACCATTATGATTGGCTTATTCGAAAAGGACTAATACCAATAAATGGCTGGAGAACTATTGTCAGATCAGATGAGGTAAGAGGTCATTTTGACCCCGTTTCCCAGGGGACTGAATCAAAACATACGTGTATGGGTAGTTGTTCAGGAACTAAGTACGTGCTTGTGTACCTGTTAGGTCCTTGGTTCCCAGGGGAGGAGGGGAAGCACTAAGGCACGGAGGCTGAGAGGGTTTGGAATTGTCAGAAATGGCTTCAGAATTGTCTAAAATCTTACAAAGGAAAGCAGAGAAAATTTTAACAAACAGCCCTTGTAGGCAAGGTGACTTCAAGGTGACTTCCACATTCCTTTCATGTTTCTCTTTCAGAGGCCACCCCTGAAGTTCCACGTATCATGCAAAGTCATAGACACCAAGAAAGAAGGGATTCTATGTGTGTGTGCATGTGCGTGTGTGTGTGTGTGTGCACGTGCGTGTGAGAGAGAGAGGGAGAGAGAGTAAAAGCCAGGTTCTGATGAACCATTACTAGTATAGCAGTATAGTGCCGTGGTTTATGCACAGGCTGCAGCTCAGAATCTGTGCCCACTTCTGTAAAAGGGAATCAGCCACCCTAAACCAGCATGTGGAGGAACTGAGCAGCGACTCAATGCAAAGCTCTACCACCTCCATGAGGCTGCTACACGCTGGTGGGGATTATATCATCTTTATATTCATGATATCAACATACACTAAGAAATGGAGGCCTGTGCCAGCCACTTGTCCAGCATGCAGCACAGTGAGGCGCTCCCAGAGTGGGGCAGGTGGGGAGGTGAACATAGGTGGAGGTGGGGTGGGTGTCCATCGGGAGGTGGGATGTGTGGGTCATAGTCTCTGTGAGCCTTCTTTCTGGAAAGCAGAGGAAATGTAAGAGCCAAAGAGAAAGGCGCTTTCATCACACTAGGAATAATGCAGCCGGTGGAGCCAGGTGCTGTGGGGTTTGTAATGCATCTGGACGGCCTCTGGAGGAGGAGATCAAGTGAGTGGTGACTAGTTTGTAAGGGTCTGGGGACCATGGCCTAAGCAGGCCTCAGTCTCCCCAGCCTGAGAGCCACATGGGACCTCAGTGATCCTCTCAGGAGCCCCTTTCGTACCAGCTCTGCCAGTCCTGGTTTCTCTCAGCTTCCTGTCGGTGTGATTTTCTCTTTCCAAGCTGGGGCTGGGGAGATGGGGGCAGTGAAAGATGGAACATGACAGGGAAGGCATGTGAGGGGAGACATGGAGATGAACACACGGACTCCTTGGCCCATAAGATCCCCAGCCGGCCTGCCTCCACATTAGGACTCAGGACTGGGATTCCTGGTCTTCAACAGTCCCCTCCCACTCTCCCCTCACACCCACCGCTGTCTCCCATTTGTAAAGAGTCTACTTTTTATACTTCAGATGTCTGCTTGTGACACCCCCCCCCCAATCGGAAATCCAAACCTTCCTTACCAGGCGGCGGGGAGTCCCAGCACAGCCCTCCACTCTGCCCCTGAGAGGCGGGGAGTGCTACATTGTGCAGCCTGCTTCTGGAGTCTGCCACACACACACACACACACACACACACACACACACACACACACACACGACAGCAGCATTTTCACCTTTAAAAAAGACAGCATTGC